GGATCCTAGAACTTCTAAGGTGCCTAGCCCCTTGACATTTAAGGAGTGAGTGTATTTCTTTCATGACATTCCCACTCACTGAACAAGAGAATGGGAATGATGCCCATGCATTAATAAGATAATGAACATCCTGCTCTTTACGTTTTCCTCAGTCATGGATCTCCCAGGTACCAATGCATACAGACAGAACAGATTATGTATGACATTTCCATTCTGCTCATCACATACAAAAAACAGTGGAGCAGACAGCCTGCAAGAACTCTGGGTATGCAACAAGCCTTCTCCACCCTGCCTCACCCCGCTGCTGCTTCCAAAGTGAATTGTGAAGGGAAATTCAAAGCCTTTTCTCCCTGCATGTAACTTTCATGTCAGCCCTCAGCAGAAAGTTCAGCTGAAGTTACCTCATTACCACAGTCAGAAGCTCCGTGAGAGCCCTGCATGTTAGGCATTCTCCAAGGTGCACCACCCAGCCCCTGCATGGAAGTGTCATGCGAGTCTTCATCAACAGTCTGCAATCCCTGCTAAGATGGCTAAAGTATTCCCCTTGGGAGAAAGTGCATCGTACTGTCAGGATACATCTGCTCCTGCAGAACTCAGCCAGAGGCCTCCTACTGATTCAGTGGAGCTGCACTATCCCCAAAACTATCCTCAACATAAATGTGCTGAAGATTTCAACAAGGCAGATTTTCTATGTGCCAGTTAGCATTCTCCAAACAAGGTTGACTTGGCAGCCTAAGCACAATGCAAAAACAACAGGGACGAAAACTCTCCCAGGTTTACAGTGAGCATTACCTCCCATTAAAAATGCTTTTAGAAGGCAACCTTGAATATTCCAGGAGTGGAATTTGTCAATGCATCACTCCCCCTCTTAACCAGCATTCAATAAGTGGTGACTCTCCCACTCCCCCGCAGTGCTGCACAAATAGCTGTGCAAAGAGGAGCAGCATTAGCCTAACATAGTCCACCAGCTGCAGCCTGCATGTTTTTAAAGGTCTGTTGAAGCAGCACTAAGAAAGCAACACATTACATAGGTCATGGAGAGTAACACGTTTTTAATCTTCCTTTTGTGCAGCAGTTGGGAAAACACATGTTTTGGCTCCATATCAATTCTCACTTTTATCCTATCTGAACCTCAGAATTCTAGGAAAGGACACAATGATGATTCCCTTTTTAATTTCCCTTGTTCTGTTTCAGTGGGTGGAGGGACATAGCACCAGTTCCAATGAATTTATCAAGCATCTCATTTGCTGTAGTTGTGTTTTTCTGAGAGCTCCTCAGTTCAGATGTTACATGAAAATCATGCCAGCAACAAAGTTTGAAAAAAGTGAATCACAAAATCTAAAAGGCCAATAAAGAGAACCTCACATTTTAAACAATACTCATGATTTTTAAGCCCATGATTACATGCCACGAGTTCAAAATATCTGGGGGGTTTGCCTTATGATTCTTGAACATTTATGCTGGAGACACTGGCAGTGCTGGACAGATCCTAGGAGCTCCTCTGAGCAGAAATAATGTGTGGCAGACTGGTCATGTCTTAAGAGAAATTTCTGTGACTCCAACAGCACTGCTTTAAATTTCAAAGACTTCCTTCATGACAGAGTGTAGCAACTTACCAAAAAGCAACTGATCTCATTAAGGGACAGGTGATGTGTTTCAGTGATCAAAGCCTAGATTCAACAGTAGGAGCCCATGAGTCATATCTACTGGTGCCATTCTAATTACTCCTCGGATGACTTCCAAAGCAATACATCCCTGTGTGCTTGTTGTACCCAGCTCAGCCTGCAGCTCCGAAGTAGACGACCAGCTGAAAAATGATTTTCAGAGTGCCATTAAAACATTTAGTGATAGAAATATTCTGCTGACGCTGAGGATCCTGAAATTCTTTACGTTCACACCATCAGTCAGCTGCACAGCAGATGCACTCTCAGTCCATGGGACCAAATCCCTGCATGCACAAACTTCCTGAGGTCAAGCCAGTGATCACACCGAGTGCTCTGCAAACAGAATGCTTTGACGGTGCAGTGCCTTCAGTCTGCTGAAGAAACCTCCAGAGTGCAAGATTCAGCTAAGAAAGAGAGGCAAGATCAGGAAAACGGAGTGCCTGAAGACATACCCAAGATCTTCACCATAAAACCACTTGTGCCCATTTGTTTGCTAAAGGTTAAGATGGAAAAGAGAAAACATTTCCGAGCCAGGAGAACTACCAGTTGTTATTTTAATAGTTACCCAACTCTGTGTATCTCCACAATCCACAAACAAGAAAACCAGAGTATCTAGGAGCATAAAACTACTTATTTTATACACTCGGGAACATAATCTAAGGAAGGGTCGAAGAGCTTCACTATCGGATTCTTTGGTAAACAAAATTTAAAGTACTGGTATTCAAACTGTTGAGGCCTTTGGGAATGCCAACAGAGTTTGACATTTTAGGTATTTGGCCATGGTTTGGCTGCACAGACTCTTCTGGCTCTCCAGTGACACCACATAGTATCCTGAAATTTTATTCTTGGAGATCAAGAGTCGCTCACAGCCCAGTGGGACAAACCAGCTATCGATGATCAAAAAGGCAAACACATCTGAAAGACGTGCTAAGGTTTCCCTTCCTCTGCAGGGACAATTTATGATTGTTCAGGGTACAGTTACTCGCTTTCTTCCATGGCACAACTCAGACTGTTTGCTCAAACCCAGAACTGCTCAAATCTTCTGATACACTCCAATGTCCATTCCTGCATTTACAACTACTGAGAGAAAAGACACACACTGTTATATATTAGCTTCCCAAAATAGCTAACTACCAGTCTGGGTGGCTGACTGAGCTAAACAAATTGCAACCCAAAACTCCCTCCTTAGCCTCCCCAACCCCACCCCCTATTAAAACAAAAAAATAAAAAATGTTCATATTAGAAACTATCAATTATGAAGAAAATAGTACATCCAGTTGAGAGCCAGCTGTTCAGCAGACCTTTTATAAATAAATCCTGCTGCTGAGAAAGCACCAGTGCGTACGTAACCACGCACCAGTCCAGCAAGCACAGCTCTGCTTGTGGCCACTGGTTTCAGTGGTCAGTGTTTCTATCCCAAAGGCAAAGACAACTGTCAGTCGCTCCCCTCCGCACACTCAGTACTTCAGAAAACAGGATCAGCTGTGGCTCCAAGAGATGCACTACTGCTGATCCACTCTTGGGATGAGATGGACTCAGGAGCCCAAGTCTTCTGCTTTTGACATCCATCAATCTTCTGTTAAGATCAGAAATGGGCCCCACAGAAAAGAGGGGTATGAATGTCTGACTGACCAAAGGTCATCATTCACAATATTGTTCATATTTAATAAGCTGATGGTCTCACCTCTAATGAGCATCTAGGATTTTCCTACTGAATGCAGGCATCAACCTAGAAATTGGAACAAATTAAATGCAAAATTTAATACTATGCTAAAGGAAATTGAATAAGGACAAACATACATTTATACATGTACAGCCTCTGCTGACAATCTTCTTCATTTTGTGAAGCTGAAAGCTTATACATTCTCCTTTATACTCAAATGAAATCTAGCACCTGAAGTTCTAGCCAAAGGCAAAGTAACTTTAAACTATAGGCTTTCTGTTCGCTTTCTATGTAAGAAAAGCTTCTGAGAAACTTTTGAGTAAAACACATTCTTTAAAGCATTCTGTATTTCCCTACTGGTAGTTTGCACTTTTTACACTGCGAATCTGAATTTTCAGCAGCCCGTCAGATAGGGCAGCTCAGGGAGCCAAACCTGTGGCATAGACTTACAAATCTACAGCTCCTCCTGGCTAAGCTCACACCCGTATGGAAGGAAGGTCTGTCCTACAAGCAAAAATCATTGATAAGAAAAGCTCTTCCTGGAGCAGGCACCAGTGCACGCAGCACAGGATCAAAACTGGCAGTAACTACAAAAAAAGAAGCACACCTAATATAAATCCAGCTTCAGTTAAGTGTGTAGTGCATTCTCTCTATTCTCCCAACATTTTCTCCAGGAAAGAAGAGACAAAATGTGAGTCTGCTCTAAAAAGAAAAGCAGATTTAAAAACAGCAAAAAGAAAAAACACCAGAAAAAAAAACCACCAAACCCCACGCACATTCATGTCTCCTAAATAAAGATGCACAGAAAGAAAATTTCCTCTTTTGTTTTTCTAATTCACTTTTTCCTGTAAAAAGATACTCAGAAGAAACACTGGTTTCTGCCCCCCCCAAAAGTTCTGCATCCAAGGAAAAAAGCAGCATGCCCCCCGCCCCCCAATTACTCAGCTACCTTCACAAAAAAGAGGGACAAATGCATGTCGAAATAGCATGCTGGAGAGTAGTCACACCAACGAGACCTGTCACGGGTCTCTGGGAATCTGACCTTGGCCTCTGGACTGGCCTTCCCTTTGGCAACACACAACGCTGCAGTGCCAGAGGAGGCAGCTTCTGGATGAAGCTCATTCAAGTAAAGAATATCCTCTTTGCATAACAACGTTATCAGTGTCAACTTACTTTCTTCTACAGAAATAACTATCCACACACTCTCCTTCGGAAGGAGAAATGGCCAGCGCATTCCTTCAGTAGCATGGGGGAAAATATGGACACGCTCCAGAAACTACTGAATTTATTTCCAACCTGCAGGTCATACTACGTTAATGTCATCTTACACATGCATTGCTTTTTCTCTGGTTTTCACAAGAGCAAAACAAAGACAAAATATACATTAAGACCTTTGCCCTGACGTTTTTCTCAGTTTGAGTCCACCTGGATCTAGCTGATGGTAAAACATAGCATCTTTTATCCTTCTGTTCCTATATAAGCATGGTTATTCTCTAACCTGCTGCCTGGAAGTTTCTGGCCTTTTCTACAGAGACCAATTTTTTACGTGTAATTTGAACAGACTTATTACCTTAAAGAAAGAAGTATGACGTGGCTTTTGGCAGTGTAAGTTATTTTTTCTTGTACCTTTTCTGCTTTTAAAAAATGAGTCAAGTTTTATTTTTAATCACACTTTTATTATCTTTTTCCAAAACCAAAAAACCCCACCTCCAACAATCAAAAAAACTCCAACAAATCACATCCTATACTGCTATATTTACACTGTAGACTTCTTAATCTCTTATGTAAATATACATATTCTGAAGTAATCTGTCTTTGCAAAAGAATGCTATTTTTAGCATTCTGATGATGGATAAATCTTCATTATCAATGTAATGCGCGAAGAGAAGAAAATCAATTTTCAAGTTGTCAGATATCAAGATAAGCATACAGATTAAGTCTATTCCAATTATTTTAAACAAAAAGAAACCTCAAATGTTACAATAACTTAAGATAGTGTACTATACCACACACAAAACATGGCCAAAACTGATTGGTTTTGATGGACATTAGTTATCACAATTTTTTGCAGAAGTAGGAATAAAAAGGTTTTTAAAAAGTTTCAAACGTGCTATTTGGAATATTCACTTCTTCTTCGCAATTAGTTTATCTTCATAGTTGACTGGAATTATGCCACTGCATTCTTCTGTCTTTAATACAGGATGCTTTATAAAAGCACGTCTAATTACATCAATATCACGTCCTAAATGATCCATCATGGTCGATACAATCGAAGGTGGGCCCTCTAAGTCTATCAAAAAATACCTGCAATGAGAAACATATACACAATAAAAAAATATACCTGTACTGCAACAACTTTAATTGAAGTAACTGTTCTGTGGGATTTCTTAAGTGAAATTTTCTAATTTTTTCTTGTATTTTGGTACCAAGTGGTTTGAAATAAAAGCTCAGTATTATCTTGATTTCAAATAAGAAAACTTCAGTTGAAGCAGGCTCACCCTCAACTTTTCTTTGTTGCACAGCATTGCTTACCCAAGGAGATTAAAGAGAGCTTACTCTTATTGACCTATTCCATTCATTTCTACACCTTGATTTGAACAGTCTTAAAAAATAAGGTAGGGTGGCACATTCATTTCAGTTACAACACGCATCCTCCTTCTTCAAATTCACAGCATTGTTTCTTTGGGAACCAGATGTCAGTGTGAAACATCTCAAGCTTATATACATATAGGCACATTTCTGCCTTTAAAGTTCTGCTTCAGAGCTGAATGGAAATTAAAAAAAAAACAGCAAAAGAAACCCAAGGAGATGGACTTATCCCAAATTAGGCACATCTCTGATATGAACATAGCTTCAATTTTCAACCTGAGGGTTGGAGCTGAAGCCACATACAGGCAATACCCACTTGCGCAGTTGGCACTTGATGACCATACTGTTGTGCTGACCTTGGCGGGACTGAAAAGGTCTTACTTCCACACATGCACAGCATGTATAAAGCATACTGCTCCAGGTAAGCACTTCGTGTCCACCACACAGCTATCTTTGACCCAAGTGCCTACCTACAGGAAGGAGAATGTTACTCCCCGTTAATATCTTAGGTCATCAAGGTTACTTCTGCAATAAATTCCTTTGCTGAAGAACTGCACCTTCTTCGTGAGCTCAACTATAACTTTGCAAGAGGCTTTTAAAACTCCAGTACACCCGAACAAGCAAAGAGGTTGTCATGGTTTAACCCCAGCCAGCAAGTAGGCACCACACAGCCTCTCACTCACTCCCCCCCACCCAGT